CGTCAGCTGGTAAGAGGCACAAACTGGACCGGAACTCCGAGAAGAGCTGCGAGGGTAAGCCTTTCGTCATAATGTCAGCATACTGGCGAGATGATGGCACATGAAGCACACGAACCTGACCAAGGGACACCTTCTCGCGAACAAAGTGAATGTCGATCTCGATGTGTTTGGTACGGCGGTGTTGCACTGGGTTGGAGGCCATGTACACTGAGCTGACATTATCGCAAAAAACGACCGTTGCAGTAGTCAAGGGATGATGGAGCTCTGTAAGAAGCTGACGGATCCAGCAGCACTCTGGCAATAGCGTGAGCGACAGCACGATACTCCGCCTCAGCACTCGATCTGGAAACCGTGGTCTGGCGCTTGGAGGACCAAGAGACCAGGGTGTCACCAAGATATACACAGTAACCTGAGGTAGACCGCCGAGTGTCAGGGCAACCGGCCCAGTCAGCGTCGGAGTAGGCCGTGAGAGATAAGGTCGACGTCTGAGGAATGTGCAAGCGGAGATCCAGTGTACCCTTGATGTAGCGAAGAATACGCTTGACCAAGTGTAGATGCGGCTCACGGGGAGCATGCATATAAAGGCAGGCTTGCTGCACAGCATAGGCGATGTCCGGACGGGTGAGGGTGAGATACTGTAATGCACCAGCATAACTCCGATAGGTAGTAGCATCATCAAGCAAAGCACCATCAGTGGCTGAGAGTTTGACCTTGACATCAACAGGAGTAGGCGAGGGATGACAGTCGGCCATGCCCGCACGTTGAAGAAGATCCAGGGCGTACTGTCGCTGAGAGAGAACCAGTCCATGAGCGTCCCGAGTAACCGAGATGCCGAGGAAAAATGAGAGGTCTCCAAGATCTGTCATGGCAAACTCCGAGTGTAGCTGCTGCGTCAAATGTTGAAGGAGTGCAAATGTAGAAGCGGTGATCACAATATCATCAACGTACAGGAGGATGTACGCGAGTTGATCTCCATGGCGGTAGATGAACAGAGAGACGTCCGATTTCGACGCAACAAAACCGAGGCGATGAGCGTAGAGAGCGAACCGCTGGTACCATGCACGGGGCGCCTGTTTGAGCCCATAGAGCGACTTGTGAAGGCGGCACACAGAGTCGGGGCGACGGGCATCAACAAAACCAGGCGGCTGCTGGCAATAAACCTCCTCGTCAAGATTGCCGTTGAGGAAGGCATTCTTGACATCAAGCTGGTGGATCGGCCACGCACGGGAGACCGCAATGGTGAGGACGATGCGGATGGTGGCCGGTTTGACAACCGGGCTGAACGTCTCGTCGAAGTCGATGCCCGGCTGTTGGGAGTAGCCGCGGACCACCCACCGAGCCTTATACCGAGCAAGCCGCCCATCCGAATGGAATTTATGCTTGAAGATCCACTTCCCTGAAACAACATGAGCATGAGGTGGGCGTGGAACAAGTGACCACGTCCGGTTAGTGACAAGCGCCTCGAACTCATCATGCATGGCACGACGCCAGTGTGGGTCGTTGAGAGCACCCCGGTGTGTTTTGGGAAGAGGAGAGACGGAGGAGTCGGAAGCCATAAGGTTCATGTGATCGATGGGCTGGAAGAGACCGCGCTTGGCGTGAGTCAGCATCGTGTGGGTGTTGCTAGGGGAGGGTGGACGGTGTACGACAACAGGAGGAGAGGATGTGCTTGGAGGAGACCCAGGGGAGGCGGGTGCGCTCGGCGGGTCAGCTACAGCGGGAGAGCGAGTAGGCGGGCTCGACGGCCCAGTGGGACTAGGCGGCGGGCTCGGTGGCCCAGCGTGGCTGGGTGCGTGGGCGGGCGATCGGACAGAAGGGGGAGGGGAAGGTGGAGGGTCAGCATGCATAACGGGTGCATGCATAGCGGGTTGAACCGCAGGAGATGGGGCAGGTGTGGTGTCGGTGGCGATGAGGTGGAGGAGAAAATCCAACGACGCAAGAGGGTTAGACGGGCGATCCGGAGAGGAGGAGAAGGGAAATATCGTCTCGTCGAAGACGACATGGTGAGATATGATGACGCGACGTGTTTGAGGATCTAGACACCGATACCCTTTGTGGTTGGAGGGATAACCTAAGAATATGCACGCGACGGAACGGGGCGCTAGCTTATGTTTGGCGACGGAGGATTGGTTAGGGTAGCAGAGACATCCAAAGACACGGAGCATGCTATAGTGGAGACGGATATAGGGGATGGCGAATTCGATGGACTGAGAGGGGCGTATGTTGATGAGATGGGTGGCGGTGGCCAAGGCTTCCGCCCAATAGGACGGTGGCATCGAGGACTGAAAAAGGAGTGTGCGTGTAACATCGTTGAGGGTGCGGATGGCACGTTCGGCCTTGCCGTTTTGAGGGGAGGTGTAAGGGCATGAAAGCCGAAGATGAATGTCGTGAGAGGCAAAGAAGGTGGTGACCGTGGAGTTGAGGAACTCGGTGCCGTTGTCGGACTGCATTGCTACTAGTGGACGGGAGAATTGTGTGCGGGCGTAGGCGACAAAATTAATAAGTGTGGTGGCGGTGTCGGATTTGTTGCGAAGGGGAAACGTCCATAGATAATGCGAGAAGTCGTCCACAATAACAAGATAGTACTTAAAACCAGAGTTGCTCAAAACAGGAGATGTCCAAAGATCACAATGCACTAACTGAAACGGTTCGACAAAATGCGATGTAGACCTACTGAACGGCAAGCGCACATGTTTGCCAAGTTGGCAAGCATGGCAAACGTGTGGTGCCGGTTTATTACAAGGAATAGACGACTGTTTATGAAGATGCGACATAGCGTCGCGACCTGGATGTCCTAGACGACGATGCCAAAGCTCGGTGGAGGTGGTGGCGATGAGTCCTCGGGCGTGATGGTTGATGACCGAGGAGGGGAACACGTAGAGATCTCCATGGCTATTGCAGCGAAGGATCACGGCCTTGGTGCGAAGGTCCTTCACAGAGAAGCCGAAGGGGTCAAACTCAATGGAACATAAGTTGTCAGTAGTAAAACGACGAACAGAAAGTAAGTTTTTAACAATGTGAGGTACGAGAAGAACATTGTGAAGAAGAAGTGTGCGAGCGGAAGTAGGAATAGAGGCGTCACCGGTGTGGGACACGGGTAATGTGGAGCCATTGCCAACAGTGACAGAGGAGTAGGAGGAGGCAGGAAGGAGATGGCGAAGCATACCGGGGTCGGAGGCCATGTGGGAGGTGGCTCCGGAGTCCATGACCCACTCACCGACGTTGGAGGCCGATGCAGCGTTGTTCAAGGCGGCCATCAGCGCGGCGCAGTCCCACTGAGGAGCCGGGTTGTAGCCAGGGACCGGGGGGGGGGCGTTGGTGCCGAAGGCCTGGCTGTGAAGGGGAGCCAGGGAGGTGAAAGCCTGGGCGGGTGGCAGCACCGGGGGACGCGGGCCTAGCAGGCCGGCGCCATCGGTCGGTCGTGGCGTGGGAGCGCCCTGGGGCTGCAGCGGCTGGCCCGTGTATGGGTTGAAGCAGATCCACGGGCCTACCGCAGGCTGACCGCCTGCACCGACGCGGGAGCCGCCGGAGTTGCTGCCGCCGGAGCCGCCGCCTTGCCGCTTCTTGCGCCAGTTCCTGCCGTTGCGGTTGCCGCCACCACCGGAGTTGCCGCCACCACGGTTGCCGTCGCCGCGGTTAGAGTTGGCGCTGCCAAGGCCGGAGCCCTGGGAAGAGTGACCGCCGTACAGGGCGATCTGGTTGGCCACGGCGGAGGTGTTGGCGAGCTGAGTCTCGCGGAGAACCAGCAGAGAGCGCGTCTGCCCGAATGTCGGAAGCAGGTTCTGCATGGTCACGATCGTGGTGATGTCGGCGAACCGCGGGTTGAGCCCGCGAAGGCAGTTGAGGACGAGGGTTTGGCCGTGACCGGAGTGTCGACGTCGGCAAGGGCGTCGGAGAGGGCCTTCAGGCGGTGGCAGTACGCGGTGACCGAGAGATCGCCTTGGACGAGGCCGCGGAACTCGGCCTCGAGGTAGACCGCGTGCGTCATCCGGTTGTCCAGGAAAAGGTTGGAGATGAGATTCCAAGCCTCATGCGCCGTCTGATCTTCCGCCATGATCAGATCAAGAATCTCGTCGGAGATAGAGCCGTACAGCCAGGACCGGACGACGTAGTCCTCGCGGGTCCAGTCCGGCGTGCGGTCCGCCGCGGGCGTGACGGTGGTGATGTGGGACAGCAGGTCGTACTTGCCGAGGAGGACGCGGATGAGCATCCGCCACTTGACGAAGTTGGAGGTGTTGAGATCCAACATGACGGGCACGTGGGTGCGCACACTGGCGACTTGCACAGCCGGCAAGGCGAAGGCGGGCATGGTGGAGTTGATGAGGGCGCCGGCGGTGGTGGAGTGGGAGGCGGGTAGGGAGGGAGAGGTGAGGGAGGAGGTGATGGAGGCGCCGGTGCCAGACATGGCGAGGGGACGGCGATCGGGAGGGGGCTGGCGGCGGCGTGGTAGGGTTTAGGAGGAGGGGATCGATCTATCTGATACCAAGTAAACGAGAATATTTAGGCAATGCGCCACACCTGGGGCGGCCCTCGTGTTACGTATATATAGGAGTACAAGGGAGTTACATGCCTTGGAGGCCAAGAGAGATCACAACCATATCATACAAAATCAGGTAGGTTGAGATATTCCTATACATAAGAGATACACGGAGATATACTCTAACATACTTGCATGGACTCCGTGCAATGTTTAACAAAAAATATCCGCATGTAAATTTGTACTCCCTCGGTTCCAAAATAAGTGTCGTGGTTTTAGTTCAAATTTGAACTAAAAGTCTAAAACAAGGACACTTATTTTGGAACGGAGGGAGTAAGCTCTAAGTTGTCAATATCGTTGAGATTCTTGCTTGTACCATCTTATTCCTTGGTGCATCACAAGTTTTGAATGTTCTTACAATCTACTTATTTTCATCTCCAAATTAGCTGCACTTTATTTGCTTTTGCACAAGTCATAACAAATCACTTGCGAACTTGCTTACTGTTTTTATTCATGTATACAGATTCTTGCAAGACAATGAGCTGGGTGGAGCAGTTCCACAGAACTTGCTGAACAAAACAGGGTTGACTAGCAAGTAAGTTTCATCTAAGGCTTTCCAGGAAATCTTGATCACTAACGATTTCCCATGTTCATTGGACATCTCGTAATTGTATTTCATTTGATTGTAGGTTTTGTCCGGGCAACCAGTTCACACAACCACAGTGCTGACTGACAGTCAAACACTTTGTTGAATACAGTAGGATGGTGTGTTTGTTCTTTTAGGATGGCTAGAGCAAGATTTTGTAACCAGTCAAATGTATGTACAGTAAAATGATTGGAATCCAGTGAAACGAGTTGGCGGAAGCAGGTGAAGATAAACAATCCTGATTGTACAGTGCCAATTCTGTAGTTTACATTGTCAGTGTGTAATGCAAGGAGAAAATGAAGCACTGTTGAATTCTCTCAAACGAGCTTTGGACTGCGCCCCAACGAAACATTACACCTTTTCTGCCCCGTCTCGTCTTCCCAGCCCCCACTACCATGCAAATTTTTGGGCGACCAGAGGGGAAAGCGGTCAGCTTCAAGAGCAACTGGTGAAGAAAAGATAAAAGCGGAACATGGAGCATTTGATCCCGAGCTCATATGCTCTCGCATAAACAGTAAAATCCAAAAAAAAAAAAGATTCAAAAATTCTGAATTTCTTTTGTGATGAACATTGATAATTTTTCTAACTGCATGCAAAATTTGAGGTTGAAATGACATTCGTGGAGGTCTGGGAAAAAAAATTCCATGGTTCAAAATGACTATTGTTGGAAGCATTTTGCAGCATCGATTTTTCTTTTTTGCCCAGACCTCCATGAATGTCATTTTGACCTGAAATTTTGCATGCAGTTAGAACATTCATCAATGTTTATCATAAAAAAAATCATTTTTTTTTGAAATTTTTACTATGCGCTCAGGATCAAAAGAGCACTTTCGAAAAGGCAATCCTTTTGATACCTCTGTGAAACTTTACAGTCTCGCAAACTTTCTTTTCGTTGAGAAGAAACCCCCACCGGCATATCTGACAAACGTCAAGAAACACACTGAAGACTCGAGCAAGAAATAGAAAATATACCGTAGTCCCCAAAGTCGTTCCAAGTCAATCTTTTTAGCCAGCCCATGAAGAACGCTCTTGACCTTACCACCGAAGAAGATTTTGCTTGTCAGAAAGAAGCGGTTGCAAAAAAATGGCACCAGAATCTCTAGCAACCACACACGCCACCTTGAGACAAGAACCTTGCCGAATTAGAGGAAAAACCCTATAGCTGCCTTGTTATGGGACAAGAGAAGAACAGGGGAACTAAAATGGCGGATGCTTCGTTTTAGCCTCACATACTTGGATGATTCGAAGGCACCAAGTGTAAAGTAAATAGACAAGGAATGCACGGCAGCACCAAACAGTATATTACGGCAAGTTGGAGCAACTCCTCAATACATATATCCAGGCACACCGGATGAAAAGGCTACCAAACAAAACAGAAAACTCCACAATGTGCTCAAAGCCCACCCACCTGGAAATCTCTTCCATTTGTTCACAGCTACTCAAAGACACACTCGGCAGTTTTCAATGAGAAAACAATTTATTCGAGACGCAAAGCCGACCTTCAGATTCCCTTCTCCAGCATCGCGCGGACCCGGGTGGGGAGGCCGTACAGCCTGATGAAACCTTCCGCGTCAGCCTGGTCGTAGATCTCCCCGTTCTCGAACGACGAGATGTCCTCCCTGTACAGGCTGTAGGGGCTCTTCCGGGACGCGACCGTCACCGACCCCTTGTACAGCTTCAGGGTCACCGAGCCGGTCGTCGTCGCGGTGATGGTCTCCATGAAGGCGTCCATGGACAGCCGGAGCGGGTCGAACCAGCGCCCCGCGTAGACGAGCTCCGCGTACTTGAGGGCCAGCATGTCCTTCCACTGCATCGTCTCCCTGTCTAGCGTCAGTGACTCGAGCTCACGGACCGCGGCCGCCATGATGGTGCCGCCGGGGGTCTCGTAGACGCCGCGGGACTTCATCCCCACCAGGCGGTTCTCCACCATGTCGATGCGCCCGATCCCGTGCTTTCCGCCGATTTCATTGAGCTTGGCGAGGAGAGTTGCTGGTGAGAGATCTTTTCCGTTGATAGAAGTAGGGACGCCAGCGACTATGCCAATCTCCAGATACCTGCATGAAGTTTAGTTTTCATATACAACTGGCTAACAGAGTATAAATATGCGTGTTATCGTGGAACAATGGAAACAACACTGTTCTGCAACCAAGCATGCAGTTAACCGATTGTTTTTGTACAGCCAATTATAATTATTATGTAACAAAAAGGCACAAACAAAGTGTTCTGTTCACAACAAAATTGGACTGACGGTAGTGTTACCAGTTCCAATGATTTCACGCATGCTATCAGCAAGGAATCCATAGTTAAAAAATACGCGAACTAAGTTTTTACAACAGAAATGGACCGATAGTAATGTTCCCAATTCAAGTTATAGATGATGATTTCATGAAGCATAACATAAGTCCTACCTAGAGATAGCTGGTGGCTACAACAACGTGACCATTTCTATTCAGTATGACAGTGTCACTTTACATTAAAAGCTGCTGGGTAAATGGATAAATGAAAACATGAAAAACTTAGCAATGTCAAAAACTTGGGAACTTCACAATGCCGAACAACTCAAGTTCATCATGCCACGATTCAACATGCCTACTTTAGAATAATGGTATACAGATTCCAAATCATTTGGGTGGTTCTCTACGCAATTCAACTTTACGTGGGGGGATATGAACCATTGCACAGATTTAGTAAAATAGGCCACATTGCAAAAACAAATGAACCATTGCACAGATTTAGTAAAAAGGGCTACACTGCAGTAAAGATAAAATAAAGAGCATAAAGAGTACTTATCCAGGACAACAGATGGGGCCTATGGAAAGAAAAAGGATTGATCACATACTCAGGTTTTGAAGGTGCATTTTCTGGAGAAACAGACATCATATACATATCTTCTTTTGGTTCATTCGCTGGATCTTCCAAAATGTCACCCTGAAAATGTTGAGAATAACTCACATCATCCGACAAGCATCAACATTTTCAATTGAAGATTAATAGATGGCATCAATATGATGGTGCACTTCATTGATTTGAAACTTCTGAACTTACGCAATCATGTACGAATTACTGTAAGATCTGTGTACTTAAAACCAAAAAGAAACAATAGAGCTCCATAAACCCTAAGAGGCATCAACAAGACAATAGGTAATATATACCTCATGGCTAAGGTGCCACAAATTTCTATCTCGGCTGTATATTGATTTCTTTGAAACCGGAATTGGCACATTGTGTTTCTTTGCATACTCAATTGCATCTTCACGTCCTGTGATATCCCACTCCCTCCAGGGTGCCACCACTTTAAGTTCCGGATTTAAGGCATAAAATGTAAGCTCAAAGCGAACCTACAGAAAAGGATAGCATCAGATGACTGCCCATATTGACATTTCCAGGAACAGCAGTATGTACCTGATCGTTGCCCTTCCCAGTGCACCCATGGGCAACTGCGTCTGCGCCAACTTCCTTGGCAACATCAACCATTGCCTGCAATAAAGATATAAATTGCTTAGTCCTCAAAGGAATATAAGGACATATAAAATTTGTGGCAGATAGTTGCAAGTACTTCATTTGAATATTTCATCCATCCCACCAGCTATTAGAATTACATATTTAAGTTAAGATCCTACAAAGCTTACAGCACAAGTGCAACTCTTACAGGCGAGACTTCCAGGGAACAAATAAAATAAAATTCGACGGAAAACAAACTTGCATTTATAAGCTCAATGAGAAATTAATCATGTTGTAAGTAAACAAATCTTAAACGGTGCCAGGGTGGATGGCTAGCTATAAAAAGTGACAGCAACCTTATATAAATGACCTCAGAAGCATTTATTCTAGTACAAGAAAGTGCAGATTTTACAAAAAAAAACACTCCAAAAGATATTGTAACTGAAGATCAACAACACATTCATTTCAAATTTACTTGTAAGACAATTATCTTGCAGAAGTAATGTGCACACAAATCAAAAAATACAACTAGTTTATCAATTTCACCTTAGCAATAACAGGCCTAGCCATGGAAGTCCCAAGCAGATACTTTCTTTCGTAAACTGCACCAGCACGCAAGCAGGGGTATATATATTCACCAACAAATTCTTCTGTCAAGTCCTTCACAACAAGCTGGCTTGCACCGCTAGCTTTTGCCTTTTTCTCCAATCCTTCCAATTCAATGTCACCCTAAAGGGTAAAATACGAGCTTAACTGATGGTTCACTAGAAGGAAGCTAGAAAAAAGGTCCAAACAATGCTAGTTCAGTTATGTACTGATAGAAAACAAAATACTCCGTACAAAGATACGATACAAAAGTAACTCAAAGTTGTAAAATTTGGAACAGCATGAAGCCAGAGACAACAGACGAAAAATTATAGAATCTATAACTCATGGTAAAAAATATAACCATCAGAAGAGCAAAAACTAAGTAAAATGTACAAAGAGGGACGGGATGGGAGAGAGAAAGTTGTGGCACTTATCAAGCAGGACATAGTCAGCAATTTAGCACAACATTGCAGATTAAAGGAAGATAATGGAATCACTGAAGTTATGTTAACATACCTGACCAACATCAGCAGTGAAACAGACAACTTCACAGCCATAGTTCTCCCTTCAATAAAAAAAACAAAAAACATAGTTTAGACAAATCAGATCAATTCATCCTTTAATTTGGTAAATTGCTTACTGAAACAAGAAAGATTTGTAGTTGTACCTAAGCCATGGAACAATTACTGATGTATCCAAGCCACCACTGTAAGCTAGAACAACTTTTTTCAGTTTGCCACGCAGTCCACCTTTCTTTTCATCACCACTAGTAGTTGCTGCATGCTCCTTACCACTTGCCATCACACAACTAACACCTGCAGATTATCATCAGCGATATAATGGTACCATCATAACAGAAGCAAAATGCTACCCCTCCATATAAAACATAAAAATAAGTCAGTCAAGTTTCCTATTGCAAATCTCCCTCTGGTATAAAATGGCCAGCCCATGGAGAATAGGCACTGTCAGGACCAGTTTGCATCAAAGGATGTGAAAACCCAGATTCAGCAACACCAGAGGTCATTAGTAAACTATTTTAGTGAAAAGAAAACTC